AGCCCTATCTCCAAGTATAATCATATCTGAGGTATTATGGATAGTGCTTCAGTGTATGAATTTGGGGAACACAATCTCCCTATAATATAATTGTTACATTTTATAAATGTTATTTGTCCTCTGCAATATTTTCCTTTTCTTTCTTGCTTTTATTTAACTATTATTGCTCTTTGATTTTTCTTTAATAATTTAAATTTGTTATTGATGATCCTAAATTTATACATACACATCTATTTAACTCTAAAATTATGTATACGTCTTCTTCCCCCATTCTAACAAATTCAGGGAAATATCAACTCATTGACTCTAACTGCTCCTTCTAAAGATATGTGTTTATCTAAAATTTTAGACATCCTGTTTTCATTGCAAGATTTATAATTAGTATTGATTTACACAGTCAAGATTTGTTTATATTTACATATACATTTACTACTTTCTTTGTTTTTAATTCTTTTCTTTATCTTTGGTTTTCTAGCTGGAATCACCTACTTTTGCCTTAAATTCATCCTGTAGAATTTTTTGAGCAGGAGTCTATTATTAGCCAAGTCTCTCACTTTATTTTAAATCTGAAAATCTATTATTTTAAATCTATCTATATCTTCCTCACGACCAAGACATTTTCTCTGGGTATACAGTTCTAGGATGATCACTATTTTCTCTGGACATATTGATATATTATTTCAATTTTTTTCTTTTCTCAGCTTTAAATTTAGATAATAAGTTGAATTAGCCTCAGTATCTGAAAGCCTGATGTTCATGACCCTCAGGTAATAAAAGCTTTAACTTCAGCATTTCTCAAATTCTCTTAGATTTAACAAATGCCTGCAGAATAAAGATACCTTTAGGACTCTGCTCTCCCTTCTGGATTCCTGCTTTCACTTAGTTTTTGGACTCTTAAGAAATTCATTTTCTTGCCAGGGCAGCAATGTATTTTACATATAGTTTTTAGATTTTATCCAGATTTTTACAGCGAAAAGGTAGTTAGTCTGCATTCTTCTGACAAAATAAAGATGGCATATTTCTCATTGTGTGTGTGTGTGTGTGTGTGTTTGTGTGTGTGTGAGAGAGAGAGAGAGATCTCCCAAATAAGCCCTTTCCTATCAAACTTGAACTCTACTAACAGAAAAATAATCCCTCTCCCCAGTATGACTTGGCAACCACCAAGAGTTTCCTACAAAATGAAAAGAGATCAAACAACTTTAGTTTTAGGACTACATGTGAAATATTAATAGTTATAGCTCATGTGCCTGGGTACACAGGAGCAGCAGAGCTAGTCACTGGTTTAGTAGCATGAGAATCTCAGGAAGTCCCCTTGAGTTACTGCTCATTTACAATTTGTGCTGCAGAACCTGAAATAATGGCTAAATGCATGGAGGAATCTTTACTAATTAATGATGGAATTATGAGAGGGAAATGAGAAGGACTCAGGATTGAACGCTACATCAGATTACACACAGGAACAATGAATGCCAGTTCCTCATGCTACATCCCTGGGAAACACCAGGAATCCATCAAAACATTTTATCCTCTTGGCCCAAGAACCTCCTTCAGAATCTCCCCCAGTATAGTATTTCTGGGGCTGGGGATTTAGCTCAGTGTCACTATGCCTGCCTCACAAGCCCAAGGTCCTGAGTTTGATCCCTGGTACCAAAAAAAAAAAAAAAAGAAGAAGAAGAAGAATAGTATTTCTGCTCCCAGCGCTGAATAACTACTATAGAAAGTCAAGATAAAACCTGCATAACAATAACAACTCTATAAATTATGTCTCTGTCCTTTCATTTTTCATTTGAGATATTGTTAGTAACATGTTTTCTCAGTTGCAATGGAAGAAAAGAATCCATTTGGTTTTCTAACCTCACCCTTTTGAAAGCTATGCTCTCTGTTGCCCATTGGATCGGTCAGCTTTCCTGTTGTTGGTCTATATACTTGAGATGGATGACTTGAAGGAGGAGAGGCTCATTTGGATTGTGGTTTCTGAGGATTCCATTCATAGCTGGCTCCAAGGTGGAAGTGTGTGGCTGAGCAAGGCTACTTAGTTCATGGTGACCTGGAAGCAGAGCACAAAGGAACAGCTCCAGAGAAGAATGGGCCAGAGACCAGATTTAGTACCCAAAGTCAATTGCCCACAGCCAATCCAGTGACACCCAGAAGTGTGCTTGGTTAATCTCCTAGGCAGCTACCAAGCCAAGCAAGTTGACAACACCAGGTCACTGCTTCTTATAGTTGACTGCTTGAAAGATCCAACAAGCAGTGATATAAGGACTGCTGAAAACAAAAAGGAAATCTCATGGATTCTTCCAAACATAGAACTTTGCCCTGAAATTCTACAATTTCTTCTAAAATTTGAAAATAAATATATTAAGAACTTTTCCATCAAGAACAGGGTTATTTTCTTGTTTTTATATTTTTCCTTTACAACACCAGAAAAGTGGCTGTTGACAGGAAAGAGAAAGGCTATAATTTGCTGTCTGTATGCCCTCATTTCCTCTTTAGTGCCTTTGTACTAGCTGTTCCTCTTGTGCCGCCTAGGAGCACATGAGACATTTGGGGTACATTCTCCATGTAAACCATGGCAACTACTTACCAAATCCTTTGGTAGACAACCATCTTTACTACTTTACTGCATTTATTACTCACTGGAAGTATTTTTTGGGTATGTATTATCTGTCTCTCCTCACTAGCACATATGTTTTGAAGATCTGAATCTTGGCAATCTTGTTTATTATTCTGTCTTGATAAGTTCAACAGTGCCTAACATGTAGAAGGCGCTCAATGATATTTGTGAAGAGGTTAATAGGAATGAGACATATTTTAAAGATACAGTATTGTTAAAATATTATATAATTTTGACCCATCGAGGTAATTTATAAAGGATTCTTTTATTCTCATGATGATGAGGTAAAAGGAGGCAAAGCAGTACACATCACAATACCTGACTTCGAGTTATACTTCAAAACAGCAGTTATAAAAATGGTATGCTATTGGAAGTAAAACAGATATATAGATAAGTGGAACAGAATAGAGGATACAGAAACATCCTCAGACATGTTCAGCTACTTGGTTTTTGACAAAGGTGCCAAAAACATATGTTAGAAGAATGATAGCCTATTTAACAAATGGTGCTGGGAAAACTGGCTATCAATATGCAGAAGATTGAAGCTGGACCCTTATCTCTCACCAGGTGCTAAACTAAAATCAAAATAGATCAAAGATTTAAATATTAAAGCAGAAACAATGAACCCACTGGAAGATAAAATAGGTAAAATACTTGAAGTCATATATACAGTTAAGAGCTTCTTGAACAGAACAACAATTGCACAATAAATATTGTGAAGAATTAACAAAAGGATTATATTAAAAAGCTTCTGCACAGCAAAAGAAACAAGCAGCAGAGTGAAGAGACAACCTATAGACCAAGAAAACATTTTTTACCAGTTATTCCTTAGACAGAGGACTAGTATCTAAAGTATATAAAGAACTCTAAAAACCTGGATCACCAAAGATAAAAGACCCAATCCAAAAATGGGCAAGTGAAATGAATAGCTATTTCTGAGGTGAGGAAGTACAAATGGCCAATAAACATATGAAAAAAATTTCCACATCTCTAACTATTAGAGACCTACAAATTAAAACAACACCATGATTTCATCTTATGCCAGAATGAATGCCAATGATCAAGAAATCAAATAATAGCAAATTCTGGCATGGCTACTGTGAAAAAGGAACCTTTTTACATTGTTTCTGGGAATGTAAACTAGTATAATCATTATGGAAATTAGTATGAAGGGTTCTCAAAGAACTAAAAATTCCATTTGACCCAGAATTTTCCCTTCTACATATCTTCCCCAAAAGAGCTAAAGGTACATATATTACAGGAATACATGCATACCAATGTTTACAGCAGCACAATTCATAATAGTCAATCCTGGAAGCACCCTGTATGTCCACCAATAGATGGATAAAGAAAATGTGGTGTCTATATACAATGGAATACTTTTTAGCTATAAAGAAGATTAACTCATGTCATTTCTAGAAAAATGGATACACCTAGAAAATATAATGTTAAGTGAAATGAATCAGATGCAAAAGCTTAAATACCATATAATATCTCTCATTTGAGTAAGGCAAAGTGTAAATAAAGAGCAAAACAAGGAGATAGATTTTTTTTTGCAAACTGGAAGGGATCTAACAGTCCAAGGGCAGGGGGTAAAAAGATTTAAGATGTGTCACATACATGTACCAAATACCCACAATGATGTAAACATATGTCATGAATATGAACTATAAATAATAATATTAACAATAATAATGAAAATGGGAAAAGGGGATCTAGAGAATGAGGCAAGAGTTATACTTCAAATTCTAGAGAATGAGAGGGAGGAAGGTGTGAATGGGAAGGAGAATAAAAAAGAATCAAGATATGTTATGTACATGCACCTACTCCCTAAGATGAAAGTAGACTTCGTGTGTGGCAAACATGTACTAATAAAATAAAATTGTAAAGGACCACATTTATATCTTTATAGCAGGAAATAAATAGTAGCTCAAATGGGAAAAGAATGTAGAGTTTAAAAGGACAAATGCTTGAAATACGGTTTGAATTTCTATTTTGTCGCTAACTGTAAGACCACGGGCAACCCAACCTCTCTGTTTCTGTTCTCTTTTGTAGAAAATGATGACCAAAATGAAAACAGTAAGATAATAGATAAATTAATACATTTCAAACATTTAATGTCTTCTTAGGAAAATTTCTGTGAGTTATTTATCAATATTGTTAAATTACTTTCAGTTCATGTTATATGTATACTGAGTTAATGTTTTTTAAGTTTCTTCACCTGTAAGGAGAAAATAGTACCTACCTGATAGTATCATTGTAAGGATGAGCCGTAAAACACATGAAATAGAGCCTCGGTATCTATAGCTCCCATTATCATATACTCTAAACTCAAGTGACTTTAATTCATTTTTCCTCTCCATTCTTGGTTTGTCTATGCTACCAGTCTGTGATCTTCATTCGTGACAAAAATTCTTATGGACAAGAAGTGTCAGGATACATTGACTATGCTGACAGACTAAAGACTGAAGATTTTGAAGTCTACTTTAGCGGAAAAAGAAGACTCTTTCCAAGGCCCACAGATCTGAGGTAAATTGTGCACAATTCTTACACTTTCAGAGGCAGGGATGAAGCAATTTTATTTCATATTCTATGTAGTGCCTACAATGTCAGTGTACATATAATAGAAATGTGATAAGACTTCTGTGACTTTTTCAAATTCTAAAATGAGGCATGAGCATAGAGTCATTTTCTGCTTTAACAGCCTAAGGAAGAAAACTCTTCAGAGACAAGATGAGTCAATTCTCATGACATTCTTTTTAAATGTTAAGTAGAATGTAAAAATCACTAACTTCATAAGGCGTTGATACCACTTGGTGCTGGCTGCTAAAAGCTTTGAGATCAGTCCATCTAACACATTTTCCTTCCAAGTCCTTGGTCAAAGCACAAAGCAGCTTCCCACCAGCTCATCTTCCTTTACTCTCATCACAGTATTATTGGAGGATTCCTTCACACCTGTCATTGTTTTTACTGCTGATCCCCACCCACCCTTCTCTCTGGCTCCTGCATCCCAATACCCTGCCAATCTATTCACAGATCAATTCTTCTGGATAGCATTCAGGGTAAAATTTTTATTTGACTACTGTACACTTATTATAGAACCAAAAATAGTAGCAACATCCTACTTTAACTTCCCACTACTGTGTTGAGATCTTTGACAGTTGAAACAATACTGTCCTCCTCTGAGAACCTTCTATTCATCCTTGTTGCTATTATCTAAAGACTTCCTAACCCATCCTCACTTCAGTGGACTTATTACTTTCCAATCTAACCCAGATGCATAGGCTATAATTTAACTCTGTGTTGCACTAATCCCCACTACCCATGTCTTTTCGTTCTTTTGTTGTATCTGCTCTAACACTCAAAAGTAAATTGATCCAAATATCTTTTTCACTGAACATTCAGCTAGATTCCTGGGTACTGCTGAAGGAACGTTTGGAAATTTTACAAAGATGTAGATGACCATTAATAATAATTTATAATTTCTAAAGTCAACTAAGTCATTTGTGACAGCTGAAACTTATGTTGAAAATTAAACTCATTTTAATTACTTGAGCCCATTTTGGTTTCTGTACTCCTTATCTTGGCAAATGGAACCATCTTTCAAATGGAAAAGTTGACACAACATAGTATTGATATTAAAATACACATATAGACGAGTGGAACACAGTAGAGGACTCAGAAGTAAACCCAACAATCTGCAGCCTATGGAATTGCAACAAAGGTGCTAATAACATATATTACTAGAGAAAGATAGACATTTTCAATAAATACTGCTGAGAAAATTGGATATCCACTTGAAGGTGAATGAATCTAGAGTCCTATCTCTTACCAGTTACAAAAATTAAATCAAAATGGATTACAGAATTACATGTATGCTGCAAAACTACAAAAAGGGAAATGTTTCAGGACCTGGAAATAAGAAAGAATTTTTTGGACAAGCCTGTGAAAGCCCAAAAATCATAAGCAAAAATACACAACTATGACTAGGTCAAACTAAAATGCTCCTTCTGAGCAAAGAAAACAATCAGAATGCAGAGTAAACCTACAGAATAGGAGACAATATTTGCAAGCCATATATCTAGCAAAGGACTAATATCCAAAATATATAAAGAACACCAAAAGCTAAATAGTATGAAAATGAAAAACCTGATTAAAAAATGAGCAATAGACTCAAACAGACATTTCCCAAAAGAAGACACAAAAATGGCCAACAAGTCCAAGAAAAAAAATATTCACCATCACTAATCATGAGGTAAATATAAATCAGAACCACAAGGAGGTATCACCTCACTCTAGTAGTAATGGCTATGACAAAAAGGAATGCTAGTGAGGATATAGAAAGGGGCTCCTTACACACTGTTGGTGGGAATGTGATTTAGCACAGCCATTATGGAAAACACTATCGAGGCTCCTCAAAAAGCTAAAAAACACAACTTCCCTAAGATCCACCAATCTCACCACCAGGGGTTCATCCAAAGAAAAGGAATCAATATGTCAAAGAGACATATGCACTTCCTTTTTCGTTAAACCCTTATTCACATAGTCAACCCGATAAATGGAAAAAGGAAATGTGGCACATTTGTACAGTGGAATACTACTCAACCATAAAAAGTACAAAATCCTAGGGTGGGGATGTAGCTCAGTGGTAGATTTCTTCGAATATGTGAGGTCATGGGTTCAATCCCCAGTACCTCCCAAAAAATGGTATGAAAGTCTGTCATTTACAATATGAATAGAACTAGAAATCTTTACGGTAACTTAAATGAGCCAAGAACAGAAAGACGAGTACAGTATGATCTCAATCATATATGGACTCCAATAGCTTGATCTCAAAGAAGTTGACAATAGGTTGGAGATAACCAGAAGGCAGGGAGAGTAGCATGGAGGGGAGTTAGAGAGAGGTTGATCAATGGATATTAAAGTCACAGTTATATAGTAACAAGAAGTTCTAGTGTGTTGTTGAATAGTAGGGTGACTGTAGATAAACAATAATATACTGTATGATTCAAAAAGTTAGAAGAAATCATTTTGAATATTTTTACCATAAATAAATGATAAACAAAATTAACCCGATTCAAGCACTAAATAATAAATGAATGTATCAAAACATCACATAGTGTCCCCATTAATTTGTACAAGCTTTGTTATATATTAGTTAAAAATAAATGTAATTACTAAGAGTATATATTAAATGAAGGCAAAATTTAAATGTTATTCCATACTTTTTCTTCCACAACAATACCTTCATTACTAATAATTTATTAAAAACACTGGATTCTACTACCTTAATATATTTATTTATATGAAACCAAATGTAAAATAATCATTTAACTTGCAAATATGTTTGTCTGAATTTTTATAACATTTTGAAAAAAAAAACATGGCCTTATCACAATAAACTGAATAATTCCTTAATGTCATCTAATACCTTAGTAGTCCTTATTCAAATTTCATTGATTTTCTCAAAATTCTTGCACTTGGCTTGACCAATACAAATTCAAAGAAGATTGTATTTTATTCAATTGCACTTCTTTCTCTTACTTTATAGTAGTTCTTCTTTTCAAAAAATTCTCTGCTACTGATTTGTGGGAGAAACTTGATCTGAAATGACTCACATTGTCAGTTTGACTAATCAAATTTTTGTTATTTGTTACAATCTATCTCTGTTTCTGTAAATTGACTTGATTAAATGCAGTTTCAATTTTATTTTAAATCAAAATTTTTTTATTCATTAAGTTTAGTGCTACATTTTAGGTATACAATATGATGACATTCATCACTGGAAATTTGTATCTTTACATGATATATCTTGGTTCTTATTTTTTTCCCATTCCCCTGCCCTTCCTTCAAGTCCTCCACCCCTCCCTCTTTACAAAGACTGTTACGGTTCTTTCCTTTTCTCATATTTTTTCTTTTCCCTTCTTTCCCTTCCCCTACAAAGAAAAGGTCCTAAGTTTTCACACATTTGGGGGGGGGGGGGCTGTAGGCACCATGTTTTTTTTTTTTATTTTTTAAAATTAATTTTATTGGTACATTTAAGGTATACAATATAATGACATTCATCATTGGAAATTTGCACCTTTACATAATCCATCTTGGTTCTTATTTTTTTCCCCATTCCCCTGCCTTCCCTTCAACCCCTCCATCCCTCCCTATCTACAAAAACTTTGTTTCCATTTTTTCTTTTCCTCATATTAATTCCATTCTCTTCTTTCTTTTCCTCTACCCAGCCTACTTCCCCTTGCCTTTTGCACCTTTTCTTCCTATTTCACATTATCTATTATACCTTTTAGTCCTTATTTACGCTTTCAGTTTCTCACACTAGAGAAATTATTCAGTATTTACATGTGTGTCCTATTTATTTCACTTAAGAGTATCACCTCAATGTGCATCCATTTAGCTATAAATGTCTCTAGTTTCTCATTCTTTATGGCTGAGTAGTACTCCATTTTATAAAAAAACAAACAAACACATTTTCTTTGTCCAGTCTTCAGTTGATAGCCAATTGGGTTGCTTCCAAGTTTTAGCTAACACGAATTGTGCTTCTATGAACATGGGTACACATATATCACTGTGGTATGATTCTTTTAATACTTTGGGGAAGATACCCAGCAGGGGAATAACTGGGTCAAATGAGACTTCCAGTCTTAGTTCTTTGAGGTATCTCCATACTGATTTCCACAGTGCTTGCACCAGTCTACACTCGAACCAGGAGTGGAGCAGGGTTCCTCTTTCCCCACACCCCTGCCAGCATTTGGTATTGGTTGATTTCTTCATAACAGCCATTCTTTCTGGGGTGAGGTGGAATCTCAGTATTGTTTTCATTTCCATCTCTTGAATGACCAGTGATGTTGAACATTTTTTCATATGTTTATTTGCTAATTCTACTTCTTTGTCTGAGAAATGTCTTCATTTCAGATGTCAATTTTTGGATTGGGTCTTTCAATTTGGGAGGTCTGATTTTTTTAAGTTCTTTATAGATTCTAGATAGTAGACCTTTGTCTGAGAGACACCTGGTGAAAATTTTTTCCCACATTGTTGGTTGTCTTTTAGCTCTGTTGGTGGTTTCTCTTGCTGTGAATAAGCTTTTTAATAAGAAGAGACCCCACTTGTTGATTGTTTATGCTAGTTCACGGGCAACTGATGTTTCATTCATAAAATCTTTTCCTACAACAATGTCTTAAAGAGTTCTACCTAATCTCTTCCAGCTAGTTTAGTGTTTCTTTTTTAATACTTAGATCTGTAATTCATTTTGATTTTAGTTTAGTGCATGGTTAGAGATATAGGTCTAGTTTTAGTCTTTAGCAAGTTGAAACCCAGTTTTTCCAGCACCATTTGTTAAAGAGGCTATCTTTCCTCCAGTGAGGGTGTTTGGCTCCTTTATTGAAGATAAGATGGCTGAGTGTATCTGGAGTTGTTTTGGCATCTTCTAATCTGTTCCACTGGTCCTTGGGTCTGTTTCTTTGCCAGTACCATGGTGTTTTTATCACAGTAGCTTTGTAGTATAGTTTCAAGTTGGAGGTTAT